ATTTATTACATGCCAACAGCTTAAATAACAGTACGAGGTCAATCATCTTACAGCGACTTCGTAAAAGTTTAGCTTAAAAAAGAACTTTAGCAGCTGATTATCGGGTATTCAACAGTAACTTTAAGAGATTTTAGACTGAAATATGAAATCATTCGCTGCTAAAATTGTAAGGTTTACAGCAATTACAGCAAGTTGTAAGCGTCAATAGCTTAATGGTTAAGGGTACGGACTTTCGATCACAAAGTCTGGGGTTCGAATCCCGACATTCGACTATTGTCGTAAACCATATCCTAGCACAAGTCTAGAGCTTAGTTGGAATGGTAAATGAAATATTAGTAAATTTACAAAAAATCTGCTAATATTTTTAATAAAAAAAATAAACAAAACCATTCATTAAATTGGAGATCGATTGGGATTGGATAAATATATTGTAGAAAGATGTTATTTATTTATGGAATAAAATGTGTATTTTGTAGTATATACGAAAATAATGTATCTTTATTAAGAATTTACTGCAAATTGGTCTAAGGCGCTGTTTTAATTAAACTCTGAAATAATGCAGTTCCAGAATGCACATAAAATTTGTTATAAATGCAAGCAATTTATATGTTAATGTGCAGTTATATTAACAGCTTAGCTAAATCTTATTTCGTATATACTATTAGACTGCTCCTAGGAATAAGTACAAGCATGTGTTGTTGTGGAAATTCACTAGTATTAAATTTATATTAGTAAATATTGTAAATAGTATATTTTTTATCAAAGGCAATATAAGGGGTGAAAAATATGTATATAATTTTCTGGTATAATACGTCATCTATTCCCAAAGAAATATTTTGTTATCGTCAAGGAGTAACTAATAAACTAGTGTCACAAAACAAGCCAGTCTTCTAAATTAAGTTGACAAAAGAGCAAATCAATCATTCGTGTCTGTATAGGCAATAAATTCATAGACTTAAAGCATTTTTTTTCATGTTTCACTTCCTACAATTGTTACTTTAATATGTTTTAGAATAATATTTCTGAGAAAACAAAATTATTACTAACAAGTTTTTAATTTTCAAAAACGTAATCGACCTATATGGTATGCAGACAAAACAGTGTATATTTGCTTTCGTTACTTTTTTATACTATCAACAATTGTATAAACCTCTTGTATGACTTGGCTTGCGTGGCAAATTGAAATAAATGTCATGTAAGCTACCACATGACATTATTCCAAACTCTAATTATCTTGACGTTTGCGTGCTACGAAAAAACTTAAAAAAATTTGATGCATACAATATCGAACAAGTTAAATTTTACATTTCAAGTTATATCAAGCTATTAAATAAACAACTTATTAAGTTAATCTGCAAGTATACTGTTCTATAATTATAACATACTAGCTGTGCCACGCAACTCCGTGCGCGGGGAATTAAAAAAAAATAAATACTAGCCTATGTGCTTTTCTATGATATGTTCTATAACTGTGCCAAATTTGAACTAGATCAATGCAGCCATCCATTCAAACTCATTTGTAATAATTTAAAGATTTGAATATACTTACTCAACTTGGAGTTACACCTCAAGCGTATTAACTGCGAATACAATTTAAAGATTAAATTTCTAATTGGTAACATTATCAGTATTCAGTAATACGAGTGTCTCGTATGTAAAAACCGTTTGTTTCACGGAAAATCAAAATGACATGTAACTCGAGTAATTTTCGTATATTTTAGGAGTTCAATTGAATTTTCACTAATAACTTAGTGGAAAAGGTCTCTAAAGCTTATCGAACGGCAAACAAGCGTCTCGTATTCGAATTCGTGATTTGAGCGTGACATAACAATGGTGATAATGAGTTGAACTGTGATTAGGCAAGTAATTAGGTGTGTTACTGACGTGTTAGCATCATACATCAGTCAGATAGGAGAAAATATCAATTGATTAGATTGTTTCTTCTATTGGCATAGTGGAAGTAGACTAAAAATGTTGCTAATCAGCTACTCAAAATCTAACTGTTGGTATATGGATAGCTTAAAATCTTTGTATAATAATTTTAATTTTATTTAACTTATATTATTTTTTAATTGACTACTATTAGTCTATGCATCGGCTGAAGCCATATTGACCCACGCCTAGCCTAGTTTAGGTTTTCAGATCTACGAGACTTATCTACCAGATGTTTAGACCTTATTAAGTAAGCATGAAACGTATATCTCCTTTTATCAGTATGGTAAAACTAGCTGTCGCCCACGACTCTGTCCGCTAAGAATTAAAAACTCAATTAGTAGTCTATGTGTTCTTCCAGACTATGTTCATCATCTATGACAAATTTCAGCAAGATCCATTTAGCTACTCTAAAGACATTTTAATAAACATCCATCCATCCATCTATCCATTCAAAGTAAATTTCCCATTTCAAATATTAGTATGTAAGATATGATATTTCGCCAATCTTCCACATCCAAGGTATCATATGTGGCCGTATCTGCCAAGCCCATTTGTTTTTCTTAATTTCTTCGTATCCATATTATTTATTAAGTCTATTATAATCCTTTGACGTAATCAGTGTTAATCGTTTTTATCAATCAAAGCTAAACTCGATAGTACTTGAGTATTATCATACTAATCTCTTTTAAAACTAAATTAATCTTTAAATATTTCATCGCGTGATATTAAAACAATTTTGATTTATTTCTGCTAATGTAATGCATGCTTTTAATTTTTTAACGCATATAATCCACTAACCGTGGGTTCCTGGGGCCAAATTCTCTGTATAAGACACTGCTTGTCGCCCGTGACTCCGTCCGCTTGGATTAAAAAAAAACATTATAAGTAGCCTATGTGTTCTTCCAGACTATGTCCTACATGTGTGCCAAATTTCATCAAAATCCGTTCAGCCATCCAGGAGATACCTTCAATCAAACATTCATCCATCCATCCAAATATTCGCATCTATAATATTAGTAAGTTATCACCATCCCTGTAATTGTCTTTGACAACAAGACGATACGAATATATGGGACTCAGAAACCCACGGTAAATCTTACTTTCACATTGATATCAAAATATCGTTTTTTTTCTCTTGTAAAATATAAATTGGGATACTAATTAGAATTGATAAAACTCTTATGAAGAAAATTAAATATGATTGAAAAAGGCACTGTACTTATTCACACATATAACAATATTATCGATTTAGTTGCATAGTTAAACTATACCTTATATTTAATTCCGAAGTAACTTTGTCAGTTTAATAGCGGCTTTATATCCTTACCTTTGTAATATTACGAAAATGCTGGCTTCAGATATTAATATAACATAGGCGGGAGCAGTTTAATGCTAGTTCAAATCGCGGACCGCAGTCAAGCGGGTAATGGCTCACAACTTTGGAACTATAAGCCTCGATATGGCATTGGCTAAACTGCCTCTATTAATAATTTAATTTGACTTATTAATCACTTTGATCCGTATTAAACTTCAATATAAAAGTATCTATTATGTTTTCAGCGTATATTATCAATAGATATTGTTGTCTTTGTTTTTTTTAAAGAGAATGAAAGGAATGCTAATATGTGTAGATACAAGTGTGACCAACTCGCAATAAGATTGTTTCTTACGCAACTTGTAAGTAATAGTAGTTGCCCGCGACTTCGTCCGCGTTGAATTATACATAAACTAGTAATAAATATAGCCAAGTGCTAGATTATAGATAGTGCAAGATTATTTTTAATCGGTTCAGTAGTTTCGAAGCCTTTTTTGAACTATTTTTGAAACAGCAAACAAACAATCAAATCTTTCTGCTTTATGATATTAGTATCGATAGTTTATTTTTGTCAATCCTTTTTGTTTGATTTTTTCGACGTTTTCGGTTAAACATAACATTATTTTTTTCTTGTGTTGTCTTCTACCTCAAAACCCTAATATCTCAGCAGTCATGAATTTTCATTTGGCATTACCATACTACACTTATTTCTTTATGTACCAACGTAAATATACATAATAAAACATCAATTTTATTAATACATGACTATGTTATTAAAAGTTATGTTTTATATGTCGAAGCGTCTGACGTCCTTGTAAGCAAGATACTCGAAAATCCACGCCTCCGTTTATTAGGAATACGCAAAGAAAAACAAAAGTTTCGATCTTTTATCAATTAAAACTTAAAGCACATAAAGGAGGTTTGTTTGAGTGATAAAAAATTAAAATGATCTCTAACAGGTACTGTAATTGCGCTTTTTATTATCACATTGGTCGATGCAGGTGTTTATTTTGATTTATACCTCTATAATGTATCTGAAGATAAAAATAACATCGAAGTTTAAAGGAAGTCGTTATAAAAATTTGTATCATTATCACTGTAAAGACAATGGATAAGATCGCCTAATCAAATTCCGGATTAAGCCACTGATAGTTTTTTGTTTTGTACAATGACCATGACAATAGAAATTATTGAAGAATTAAAATAAAATAATGTTTTCAGATTATGGTGAAATTTTTCCTTTCATATTACGACGGCTCAAAATAAGATTCGGAAGAAGAACTGAATTCAAACTTCACACTCTTCCTGTGATCACATCATGAAGAAAATAGCATCAACTACTCGTATATATGGGCGGAGAAGTGAAGGAGTGAAGTATTAAAGGGTTATTTGTATTGTACGTAATAATTAATACATAATTTATTTTATTAATACCAGTTGTCGGATTTAGTCCTATGATTCGAAGCCAATTTAATACATTTGCAACATTCTTTAGCTTTAATTTTCTAGTACAAGACAAATTGCAGATTATACATTTACACGATTACACACTACCCATCCTTGATATTAACTTATTAACACGGATTGAAAGGCGTGTGTTTTCACCTAGGACCTAAGTGAAGACTGCTATCCTCGTTATATTATTTTTATCTATTTTAATTCTTTCGTTATCTTATTATCTATCATATGTACATCGTTACCCTCCCACAAATTGATAGCACCAATATATATTCTATTGCCATTGCCAAAAACTTTGCATTTCTCGCCATAGGAGATGGCCAATTAGGCCATTAATATTTAATAAACTTTATTAAAATATAAATAAAAAATGCGACTAATATTGGTTCTTGCAGCAGTTTTAGCTGGAGTTTTGTCTCTACCAGCAAACCCTGATAACTTGCCAGAGCCCAGTGAACTCGCGTTTGTTCTCAATGAAGATGATTTTGAGGACTACTTAGATTCATGGCTGGAAATTCAACAACGTGATAGTGGCAACGAAACCCAGTTCGATGCTCGTAGTGGTAAAGACTTCAAACTATTAGATATAATATTTAGGCACTCCTTATATCTAATTAATTATTTTACAGATCAAGTCTAAGCTCTTCTTAAATTGAATATACGTCTTCGTAGTTCTTAGTTCATTCTTTTTCCATAAACTATTTTAACATTTTTCTAAATCAGATTATTTAATGTTCCACCTACATAAAATTGTGATTATCATATAGGATGTAGGATCCGTGTCCGAGGTGACCTCGGCCAACCCCAGCCGGTCTATATCCACCGTAATAACTACATGAGGCCACACGGCAACTCCGGTCAGATACGCCTCAACACGGGAGAGCAAGTAGTCATTGCCTGCACGGGATCTGGACGAACCATTCGACACCCGAACATTGCCAGAAACGTTAACGTTGGTGTAAGTAAAAAAAAATAACTTTAATCTACTCCTGAATGAAAGATTTCTGTTAAATCTAATGCTTTCAATTGTTTGCTATTCACAGACGTTCCTACCGATCATTAACGTATAAAATTACCAGTACTCGGCGATATTTCTTATGCTAGCAGAATCCTCATTTATAGGCACCGTAATGATCACTTCTATCAGAAAATAATTCAACAACACTTATCATGAACTTTACAGACTGCCCGATGTGTCGACAACAATCTAGTTTCTGGATCTGGTTGGTTAAATGGTAATGGTGCTTTTGGACAGTTAACTTGCTCTGGTCACTCACATCACGAGGCACAAGGAACGAATCAACGCTGTTTTAACAACAATTTGGTCATCAGGTAACATTAATGTTGTGCATAAGAAACATTAGCACCAGTGAAAAGTAAAAGTTAAAATATGTGCTTGTTCTCATTTCAGGGTTGGCTTTATCGTAAATAATGTCTTCTACCCTCTATACTGGTCTTGCTTCGACCAGAGACGCTTAGAAGTGCTGTACGTATGGTATGATCAGACCGCCTCAAATGCTGTACACCAAACCGGAGTAGATAGACCTAGTTGGATGGGTACGTTATCTCATTGCATTCCAACATAATTTCTACCAAAGAATATCTACGATAATATGTTAAGAAGACTCGATAGATTAGTCTATCATACCAAGTCGCATAACCTGGATTTAAAGCCGTATAAGCAAGTGAATGGAGTGAAAGAAAAACATTTTTATAGTTTAAGCAACTTCAATTTTTCATCATTTCATTAAAAGTTTAAATATTAATAATAAATTTCTTATGGAATTTATTTTTAGCTGGCAGCTTCTTCCCCGGTGTCGATGTTAACAACCGATACACACAAGTTCAACAGAAACTTGCGATTGCTCGTGTTGTTGGTAACGCTCTGGCCGATAGATACGTGACTAGCCAGCAGTTCCTGGCACGTGGCCACCTCGCCGCCAAGAGTGACTTCGTGTACGCGACTGGTCAGCGCGCCACCTTCTACTTCATCAACTGTGCTCCTCAATGGCAACCATTCAACGCTGGCAACTGGAACAATCTTGAACAGGTTACTAAAGTGCATTAATTCGTTTTTATTTAGATATGCCTCACTACCTTTGATTTTAATTCAGATATTTCAAATCAGATCTTCAAATAATTTAAAAGACAATGTAATAATATAGGATCTTCGTGCTCGTATTGGTGCCGCTGGATACAACACGGTCATCTACACGGGCACATTCGGAGTAACTCAACTGCGGAACGCTAACAACCGCTTCGTCGATATCTATCTCCACAATAACAACCAGATTCCAGTTCCTCAGTACTTCTACAAGGTTAGTTAGTACACCTTTTAATCCTTTGTCGATGGAAAGACAGTTTCCGACATTAATTGAGCAAAAAACACTGACTTAAATACTTACTTATGTTCTTTAATATTAAGGTGGCGTATGATTCATCGCGACGTCTGGGCACTGCTTTCATAAGTATCAACAACCCTCACTACACTCAAGCTGAGGCTCGCAACCTGCAGTTCTGTACCGATCGGTGCCGTAACAACAACGCTTTTAGATGGCTCAGGTGGCGTCCCGACCGCGTTGACCTTGGCTACAGTTTCTGCTGCACCATCGCTGATTTCAGGAGACATATAGGACATCTACCGTCTTTCACTGTTAACGGACTCTTGACATAAACGAAACGACTTTGACTATGGCAGAAATTAAAAAAAAATTGCAATTAAATATTTTTTTAATTTTTATTTTATCCTTTCTTATTAGTAGGTGTACATGATGATAAATAACATATATATTTTTATTTTTATTAATTGTTGAGGTGCAAAACTTCCACAAAGAAAAAACTGAATGACTTGCATTGCAGATAAATTTTTTCTTTATTACAATAATTTTGTTTCCTTGTCATTTATAGCTGTGGGACTTTTGAACAGCGAATGTTTTTAACAGTTGATAGTTTTGGTACCAGGAGTACATAAATACTGAAATTAGAAATTTATGAAATTATGCATATACTTCCGTCATAAACAAAATGGCATTATTATAATTGTACATTGGTTGTAATCTATACCGATAGATGATATCATGATTGATTTGGAATTAAGATTAATTTAAAACATTGAAATTAATTTAATCTTTTACAAAACGATTTAATACCCGACGATTAAAAAATACTTTTTGAAACAACAACAAAAATCTGATCTTTGCCTGACAGTTACTGTTTAACACGAGTTTGTATGTATGTTCGTTCCATTATGATCTACAACAGCATGTATGGCTTCATGGATTCTTAAAAGTGAACAGTCCTTTCCCTGAAGAATAAAACGTTCATTAAGTCAGCCTAATTTATTATTTCTGGAATATACCATAAATAATGTATGTTTCAGAAATAACTAATATCAATCTGACTATCTTTCACAGTCTTCTATGAACAATATTTGTTTACAAACGGTGACACTTCAGTATAGTCACAATATCGTGAGTTTTCACTGCCCAAATACGTACAAAACTTGTAGAAATAAGTATAGTTGTCCCTCCCACTCTCCTTGAAAAAACTGATATTAAAATATGTTTTATACGGATTTTTCGGTAGTGGAAACTCACGCTACAAGCACTACACGTTCTGATACATAACTAAGAATCATAATTCTTATCGGTTTCTTGTAATTATTGTCTAGACCTAAACATTTGAACATACGTGATATTTCCTACACACCATTAAAGTACAAGTTGTAGTGGAATTTGCAATTGTAAAAGAAATAAAAGCTGGCGTGTTATCTACTTAGGTAGTATTAAAGCCCCCAATAGCCCAATGGTTAAGAGTATGAACATCGATCAAGTAATCGAAGGTTCGAAACCTGCCATTCGACTATTGTCATAATCCATATCCTATCCTTGTTTTAGCTTTAGCTTTGTTAGAACGGTTACAAGAAATGTTAATAAATTAATAAAATTTTGCTATAAATATATTACAAACTACAGATTTTCTAATGGAATCGGAAGGTAAATGAATTGTTGATAAATATATTTTTTTCTGAAAAATGAATCAACAATAATAAATTTAGTTACGTCACAGGTTACAGGTTTTATTGCTTCTGATATTAAAAAGCAATTCAATTAGAGTTCATTATAAAAGTGCCTTGCTATTATACTCGAATGCTGATTGAAATTATTTCAATGAAATTCGTATCTTTATATATTAAAAGAGGCTTATACTTAATGGAAATAATTAAATATTTATCAAATGCCATATTAATATAATAATATTGGAATAAAAACAATATTGGATAAATAAATTTTCTTAACATAAATAGCACTCATACTAAGCCGACGAGATAAAATCACGCACCGTTAATATACACCTGCAGCACTACTCATGTTTTTTTAAGATACATGTACGTATTTTAGTGGACTCGCTTCTCGACTACTGTTATTCGTACATTTTCTTCTTAACATACCCCTAATCTTTCTGATATGAGGTGATCAAGAAAATATCTGAAAACATTTTCTCGCAGTACTCTTATCAACTAATTATATGAGCTTAGTCAATTTTTTATCAGGAATTATCCGAATTACTTCCCCCTCAACGAACGAGATATCATCACCAATATAAATTCTATTGTAACCTACAATAAATCAGCATTGCTCTCTATACGCGAATGACCAATTTGGTCACTCGCATTTAGTATTAATAACATTTATATAAAAAGCAGAAATGCGTTTCATCTTTGTGCTTGCAACAGTTATAGCTGCGGCTTTGTCGTTACCAGCGAACCTGGATGACTTGCCCGAGCCCAGCGAACTCGCTTTAGTTCTTAATGAAGATGATTTTGAGGACTACTTAGATTCATGGCTGGAAATTCAACAACGCAATAATGGCAACGCAACACAGTTCGATGCTCGTAGTGGTAATTAATTGTTAATGTTTCAAATAATTTGACTGTTTTCGTTGTTCCTATTCATTTTAAAGTTCTAATTAACACAAACAACTGTAAATACAGGGTGCACATTCCGTATTAACGGAGACCTCGGACAGCCTCAGCCTGTTTACATCAATCGTAACAACTATCTCAGACCAAATGGCAACTCCGGTCAGATTCGCCTCAACTCTGGTGAACAGGTCATTATTGCCTGCACCGGATCAGGACGTACGATAAGACACCCGAATATTGCTAGGAACGTCGATGTTGGTGTAAGTAAAATGATAAAGGACACACTCATATAATTTGTAATTGAAATTCTGTATAAATCTATTTTTTCTTCACTAATTACTTAAATATGTTGATAATAAAGAAGATGTTTTATGCTATAATATTTTAGACCGCGACATGTGTCAACAACAATCTAGTTTCTGGTTCTGGTTGGTTAAATGGAAACGGCGCGTTCGGACAATTAACGTGCTCTGCGCACTCCTTCCATGAAGCACAAGGAACCAGCACGCGCTGCTTTAACAACAACTTGGTCATTAGGTATTGAGTACTAATTATCTGAAAATAAATTATGCTTAATATTAAGCTTAATACTTCAGTACGTAACATTTCTTCTTCTTACAGGGTTGGGTTTATCGTAAACAATGTCTTCTACCCTCTGTACTGGTCTTGCTTTGACCAGAGGCGTTTGGAAGTTCTCTACGTATGGTACGATCAAACACCCCAAAATGCAGTACATCAAACCGGTGTGGACAGACCCAGTTGGATGGGTGCGTTTCGAAATTATTGAATACCTAATTAAATAGCGCAAAACTTTTATTTGCAACGTACAATTTTTGCTTAGAATACAAAATCAATTTTAAGTCGATATAAAAATTTCGATCTAAATTTCAGCCGGCAGTTTCTTCCCTGGCGTTGACGTTAACAACCGGTACACACAAGTCCAGCAGAAAATTGCCATCGCCAACAATGTGGGCAACGCTCTAGCCGATAGATACGTGACCAGCCAACAGTTCCTGGCGCGAGGCCACCTCGCCGCCAAGAGTGACTTTGTGTTCGCGACTGGCCAGCGCGCTACCTTCTATTTCATCAACTGTGCTCCTCAGTGGCAACCATTCAACGCTGGTAACTGGAACAACCTTGAGCAGGTTAGTTAATGTGGTTTTTAACAATGATTATTATCATTATTTTATAAATTGACCCGCAAAATATAATTTGTAACTGCTCATTCTTACCAAAACTCGTTAATGCATTATCACCGAATTTTAGAATCTGCGTGCTCGCATTGGAGCTGCTGGTTACAACGCGGTCATCTACACGGGCACATTCGGTGTGACGCAACTGCGTAACGCTAACAACCGCTTTGTCGACATCTACCTTCACAACAACAACCAAATTCCAGTTCCCCAGTACTTCTATAAGGTAAATTATAAGCAGACTTTGGATTTTTTTATATTCTTTCTCAAAACGCTAATTAAGATAAAGATAAGATTAGGTGTGTTTAACTTTAAATTTATTATTAAGGTGGCGTATGATGCCTCGCGTCGTCTGGGCACCGCTTTTATAAGTATCAACAACCCACACTACACCCTGGCGGAGGCTCGCAACCTGCAGTTCTGCACCGACCGCTGCCGCAACAACAACGCCTTCAGTTGGCTCAGGTGGCAACCCGACCGTGTTGACATCGGATACAGCTTCTGTTGTACCATTGCCGACTTCAGAAGAGTCATTGGACATCTCCCATCTTTCACTGTAAATGGTCTTCTGACATAAATGCTATACATTTAATGACGACACCAAAAATTAATTAAAAATTACGCCTTTATTCTATTGTTTTATTTCAGTAAAATAATCTTAGGATATAATTAAATCCAAAGCTCTTTCGTCCTCATATTTAAAAGATTATTTGCTTCTCTTAATTTAGTTTTTTAAAATTATTTTTATAAAAGTTATAACAACTTCATTTCGAAAAAAATGCGACAGGTGTTTGATTATACTAAACATCTATACACCATTATATTGTTCCAACGTTTTTACGTAAAATTCGTCTAAAAGCCGATACATCATTTAACTAGGCTGTCCGGGCGTAGCGCGACACAGCGTAGTAATGTTTTTTGCATGTTCTAATAATAATACGAAAGCCAGATGCGCCTTAATTTTTCAGATGACAGATTATTTTGATCCACATTTATGATTTTTAACTTGGGAACAAAATTTTGCTTTTAAATTATTTAGTACTAGCTGTGTCGGCAACGTCCGCGTGAAATACTGTCTTTAATCTGCGCGCGGTACTGGACAGTACTTGGACTTTGCAAGAATTGTTTATTTTTCGCAAATAAAATATTTTTTCTGAAAATAACCTAGCTTAAGTTATTCCTCATTACATCAGTTACCTGCCAATAGAAGTCCCTTCTAAACCGGTCTAGCCATTTCAGAGTATAGTCAGTACAAACAGACAGTCCAACAGACAGAGGGCACAGAGAAAGAGTTAGTAAGGATTAAATGGCCGTGCAACAGCAAACATTTCTATGAAAATTAATAATTAAATCTTTCAGATGATCCCTTTAATATATGTAAGAACATGTACAAAAAAATATAAAATGATTTTTTATCAAAGTCTAAGAGGTAAAGCGCTTTGTACGATATTATATAGAATTTTAGATACAGTATCTAAGTTCTATCTCGATCGAAACAATTTTGTATTACGTAAAAATTTGGTATTTAACATTATCTGTTAAACCCGAAGTTGAGGTTTGACAAATTGACAGTTGACGCAACGTTGACGTGTGACGTGCGGTTTATCAGTGCTTATCTATTCTCAATTTCCCCAATTCTTGTAGCAATTTACCAGTGCTAGTACTTATTTTTTCACATCCCCATTCCTAAAATTACAGATATATTATTTTATTATAAGTGTAGTTATACTGACTAATATTTTAGTAATTTACAATGGCTGAAGAACTCAAACCAGTGAATGAAGAAGATTTTAAACTACTAAAGGAGAGAATGAATTTAATTGCTAGTGCAGATCCTGCACAGTATCATAATGATTATTCTTTAAGAAGATACTTAAGAGCCTTTAAAAGTGTTGACAGCGCATTTCAGGTAATATAAATATATATTATAATACATTGAAATAATACTGTTAAAATTAAAAAATAAACGCTATTAACTTTTTATACCTATATTCATATATAATTCATGTTTTAGAACAATTTTTTAATTGTTACACATTGGATATTATTTAGTACAATATGGCTTATAAATTTTAGTAAGGCCTTCACTTAAAAAAATATATTTTCAGGCTATTTTAAAAACAAACAAATGGAGAACTGAATACGGAGTAGCAGAGCTTCACGAAAACAAAGAATTAATTGAAAAGTATAATGATAAAGCAAGAGTACTAAGACATAGAGATATTGTTGGCCGACCAATTATCTACATTCCAGCCAAAAATCATAGTTCAAGTGACAGAAACATTGATGACCTTACTAAGTTTATTGTGTTTTGTTTGGTTAGTAGATATTTGTGCCTTTTATACAAGTAAAGATAACCTTTTGAACTAGTATCAAATTTATAAAATACTAGCTGTCGCCCGCGACTCCGTCCACATGTTTGTCTAAAAAATAAAATTTAGGGGTGGACTACCCTTAACATTTAGGGGGATAAAAAATAGATGTTAGCCAATTCTCAGACCTAGTCAATATGTTCACAAAATTTCATGAGAATCATTCGAACCGTTTTAGAAGAGTATGGGAATGAAAATTGTGACAAGAGAATTTTATATATAAGATGTAGAGATAAAAGTGAACCTGTCACCTTCACATTATCTTATCGTAATAGTTATTCATACGTCATATTATATGCGTTCTAAATAGTATTTTTTTCTGATCTGAGAATATTTAATATAGGAAAATGTAATATTTTCCATATTTTAGAACAATCATATCTATACTAATATTATAAAGCGGATGAGTTTAATTGTTTGTTTAAATGTGCTTATCTCAGGAACTACTGGTCCGAATTGAAAAATTCTTTTTTTATTAGATAGTCCATTTACAGAGGAAGGCTTAAGGCTATATAACATTTTGCTGCAACCAATAGTAGTAGTTTTTTTTTAATTCCACATGGACCGAGTTGCGGGTGACACTTGTGTATTTATATTAACATCATATGGATATCTAATCACTAGGTAAATGTTAATGCAATTATTTTCCATTTTCAGGAAGATGCAAGTAAAAAATGTTTTGAAGAAGTAGTGGACAATCTATGCATTGTTTTTGATTTAAACAACTTTACATTGTCATGTATGGATTATCAGGTACTTAAGAACCTAATTTGGCTACTCAGTCGACACTATCCGGAGAGGCTTGGTGTTTGTTTAATTATAAATGCACCGGCATTTTTTGCTGGCTGCTGGGCTGTGATAAAAGGATGGTAAGTTAGGAAAATTTAATTAAATGTAAATTATTATAACCTAAAAGTATAGAGCTTTCACAAGTAGTGTTTTGAGTTTTATAAGCCACCTATCTATATCTATAAATAATATAAAACATATGTGTCTGTTACTGTTTATTTACAGCTAGTTGTCTGTCTGTGCGGGATATAAAAAAGCTTAATTAGTACCCTGTATGTTCTTCCAGACAATGTTCTACATTTATGCCAAATTTCAAAGAAATCCATACAGCCATTCTGGAGATACCTTTATACAAATATCCATCCATCCAAACATTCGCATTTATAATATTAGCAAGATAGCAGCAATTTGATGTAGGCAGTCATGTTATGCTTTTAAAATTTAAAAAGATTACTATGTGTTTTAATTTTCAGGTTAGATGAAAATACAGCTGGAAAGGTGACATTTGTGAATTCAGAAATGGATCTATGTCAATATCTTATCCCGGACATTTTACCAACAGATATGTAATATTTACAAAGTTTGAAAATAAAAATGAATATGAGATTTTGAAGCAATGCTTCTCAAATTAAGATATCTGTAATTATATTTTAAATACATACAAACTAAATCTGTCATTAGATTAAATATATCTACTAGTAAAATTAATATTTTATTTTGTTTGAAAATTTTACTATTTACTTGCAATTTAATTTTTGTTTAGTCAATTAAAAAATAAGACATAACTAAAATGTAGATATTCAGTTATAATTTAACAGTGTTATTATGACTGTTATTATTTTAATTGGATTATGAATTATATAAGTATTAGTTTGAACAAAACTTGTTGAATTTACAAAATTGTTTACAACTTGCCTCAATAAAACAAAGAGAAAGAAATCAATATGTTTTTGAACCAATACCGTGCAGTAATGTAAAGTATGGTCACGATGTTGGTGCAAGATCCTAGTCATTACTTTTATTTGTCGTATTTTAAAAATTCGTAATATTACTATACCCATTTAGAATTGTTACATTGAAAGGTTTCAAATATTTAAAAAAAACGGTGCCATGTCATAAAGTTTAAATCTATTTTGTTCAATGAAATTCAGTTATAGTAATTTTTGAATTAGTTCAATGTAATGTTAAATTTATTAAATATTATTGTAATTGTACTAATAATCCGTTACTTAAACCTGAAGTAAACAGGGTATTACTTCTTTTTGTTTTGTTCACATTTGACTTCGGCTGTTATTTAAGAGTTTATTGAATTAATAAAGGTACCTGACTACAATATACATGCATTTTAATTAAATTCTTACTTCCAGAGACGATTTTTTCGTGTCTAGGGAGTCAAATTTTTTATAATCAATCCTGATGTACTCGATGCACCGCTTCCATAAGCGCGCTATAGACGCGTATTCAGCCGAACGCGGAACTGTAAACTTAGCGACCCATTACGCTAAAAAACCGACACGTCCTACGTGTATTCTTTTCGTTTTTATTCCGTCGACTCCCGATGACTCTTAACTACTCTTCGACTCCCGATTCCCGTTGACTCAGCCCTTCCCCGCACAACACCCCGCAGGTCCCGCGACCGATCGTGGCGGTGAGGTATTTTAATCTACCCACTTGTGCGAGGATAAAAATGATTCGAACTACCTACGTTAATCTTTAATCCGCCAAATTCAAAATGTCATTTTGACATGACGTAAGTATACCGAATATACATTTTTTAGTTTTTAATATTTCGTACATGGAAACACCAATGAAACTGCTAAATTTAACTGCATTTATTTATTTTGACTTAAAGTTAAAAAAAACTGTTATACAAATTAATTGCTGTACAAATTTCAAGCAAATTACACTATTTGAACGAAATATTCGTGTGTAAATTAACATATTGTACTGAACCTATGACGTAACATATTTATAGGATTGGTTACATATTAATACGAGACAAAGCTAAAATTAAAATAATTGTATAAAACATGATAAATACTATCATATCACTAAGCATATGAAGATCACAAAAAATATCCAAAACTTAAACAATACCTAATATCTAAATACGGTTAAGAAATTCTTCAAAAATATTTACCCTATAGGAGTGAAACTAAATTAATGTACAGTCAGCAGCATGTAGATGTAAGCGACTATTGATATTACCGTTTATTTTATCAAAAGAAATGTATTTACTGATACAACTTATCAAAATATTACATAAAAAGGAACTTGCAATAAAAACAACAACAAATGATACATACATTTTAGTAAGTATTAGAATTGAATTCTGGTTCTGTATGGACATTTGTCCATACAGATTATCATTATCATCAGATTATTATCATCTAGTCTTTGCTGTATGTCTAATGTCGCTGACTGTACCTCAACTGTGAATGTTACAATATTCAGTCAGAGTTATACTT